TTATCACAAGCAAGCTGCCATGAATGTGCAAACCGATTATAAGTCACTTTTTTCAGTGCTTTGTAACTTCAATCAGGCACTAAATGAATGGTTGTAAGTCGAGTACTATTGAGGAAGGACGTGAAGAGGGAAAGAAATGCCCTCTATGATTATTAATATTTTATTTGTCGTAAAAGGAATGACACTCAGAATATGGTGACTGGCATAAAAATAACGTGTTGAAATATTGAATAACTAAATAATGAAAGATTATAATTCAGCAAAATATGAGTACCATTACCAGAACTATACAAGCTTGTCAACTGTAGTAAATATGATGAGTATTATTTTATTTGTACTAAAATGTAAGGCACTCAGGTGCCGTACTCTTCATGCATTGATATGTTTGTAAAAAAATAAGTAAAAGAGAAAAAAGAGGGAAAGAAAAGCCATTTGTGCAAATCAGGCAAAATAATAATAACACAAATAAGGAAATATTATTTCTGTCCAGTAACTGAGATCAATTTGGAAAATTTAAACCCATTCAGTGGGGATGTTGACAAACAAGTTGAAATTTCTAACCTGATTCGTAAAATATCATTTCCGAACAGGCACAGAGATATTCATACAGTCCAATTGACTTCGGGGGCCTCAAGATTGATTTGCAATCTTTAAATCACTTTCTGATTTAATTCGGAGAGCCCTTCCATGACAGAGATTTCGAGAATCGCATTGCTAACTTGAACCTTGGCACAATTCTACAGGAAACACAACACTTTGTAGTTATGAAAAGTTCTACTCATTATAAATTGTGGGTCTGTCTCTAAAAATACACACACACACACACACACACACACACACACACACACACACACCAGGCTCGTATAGACGCAACAGTGAAATTGTTTCCCAGCATTTCATATACCAGCCTGAAGAATTTACATCAAGTGATCCTTTAATCAATGCACAGCAATTAATTGTGGATGTGGTTTTTAAATGCCTGTGCTGTTACACTAAATCAGGGTTTAGCAGAGATGGATGGTGGTGGTGCTGGGGAGTTTGGGAAGGGAAAGTCATAAAAATAAACCTCTGGCTGATAAAATATGGATTAATGTGCAATGCATTTAATTAAAATCAACAGACTGCAAAATGTGTCTGTCTCAGAGAGTTTATAGCACCATTTTTGCATTTGAAACCTTCATCAAAATCTGAGACTGGCTGAGATCTGGGTTTGTTTAAGTGTGGCTTATTCTTACACGCTTCATTTTTAAGAGAGCTTTTCGCTGATTTTCTGCAATTTCTGTGAAATTTCAGAAAGAAAAAAAAAAAACCACTGGCTGCTTTTAAATTGCTGGAGATCTCACCTACTTGGAAACTCCTTTGTGTCATGAAGATAGTTCTCATCCTTGACTTATGGCCACAATTGGCATCATAATTTATGTTGCTAAACAAGGTAGGTTGTTAAGTGATTCATGCCAGATTTTATGATCTTTTTTTGCCAGGGTTGTTAGGCGAATCAGTGAGGTCATTAAATGAATCAGACAGTCATTAAGTGAATGTCTTCCTCTCATTGATTCGGCTTGCTGGGAGACGGATGGGAAGGTCGCAAATGGAGATCACATGACCCCAGGACTCCGTCACTCTCTGTGGTGTCACAGCCTGTGCAGCCGGCACTCGAGTCGGACAGCGAGGAGGCTGGAGAAGATGTGGTGCCAGAGGCAGGGATTCAGTCAAGGCCTTCAGAACCTCCAGAGGCTCCTTTAAGTGAAGAGGATGAAGAGGAGGAGCCTCTTCTCAATGCACGCAGAGCTGCCAAAAGGCAGGAGTGGTTACTCAGGAGGAGGTCTCCTCGAGAGTAAGGCTTGGGGCTAATTGGCCACTCCTTTAGCCTATTTAAGTTTGCACACAGCTTGTAAAAAGCTGCAGGAAACAACGTGTGTTCGTTCATTCGTTCACTGATCATTGAGTCTGGATTTTCTCTGCAAATTTTGTTTCTGGGCTTTCTGCCAACTCTAGTAAGACTCTATCTTATCTGTGGAATTTCTGGCAGGTTGTTTAGAACGTTTTATTAACAACCTGCATTTGCAAAAGACTGTGTTTTGAAGTAAACTAAGTTTTGTTCGGAGTTTGTGTGTGCTGCATTCTTTAGGATCCTGGTAGTTGGGACAGAACACTCTCTTATATACAGGTAGTCCTTGACTTACAGCTGCTTAGTGACCGTTCAGTTACAATGGCACTGAAAAAAGTGATTTATTACCATGTTTCACACTTACGTCCATTACGACAATGTTGGTCGCATAATCAAAGTTCAGATGCTTGGCAACTGACTTGTATTTACGACGGTTGGTTTGCAGTCATGTGATCCCCTTTTGTGACCTTCTGATGAGCAAAGTCAATGTGGGGAAAGCCAGAGTCACTTAATGACCGTGTTACTCACTTAACAACTGCCGTGATTCACTTAAGAACTGTGGCAAGGAAGGCCGTAAAATGGGTCAAAACTCACTTAACAAATGTCTCACTTAGGAACGGAAACTTTGGGCTGAATTGCTGTCATAAGTTGAGGACTACCTGTAGCTCCGTGGTGGCCAAGCTCTGGATGTTGATCGCACGAGGATGCTACAACAGTTACAAGTGTGAAAAACGGTCATAAGTCACTTTTTCCAGTGGCGTTGTAACTTCAAATGGTCCCTAAACAAAATGGTTGTAAGTTGAGGACTACTTGGGTAAGATTCTCGCTGCTGTCAACATATTATATAGTAATAAAGTTCCAAATTTTCTTTCAAGCTAAGTTATCCCTCAAACCTAAAAGGCAAAAATATTTTAAAAAATCAGTTTTCTTAATGATTTTAACCACGAGGGTGCTGGAACAGTTGTAAGAATGAGGACTGGTCATAAGACTCCTTTGTCAGTAACTTTCACAGTCACTAAATGAATGGTTGTAAGTCGAGGACTATCTGTACGCAACCGTGGAACAGCGATTTGGAAGGCTAAGAGAGCAGGACCATGGACAGCTCCTTAAAATTCCTCATTCGTTACAGAGGGTCCTTGACTTATAACCATTGTTTTGGCGACTGTTCGAAGTTACAACAGCACAAAGAGACTTCTGTCCGTTTCTCACACTTACGACCCCATGACACTTCAGACACTTGACAACTGCCTCATATTTACGACGGTTGAAATGTCCCGGGGGTCACATGATCCCCTCTTGTGACCGTCTGACGAGCAAAGTCAACGGGGTTACTCACTTAACAACTGCAGTGGTTCACTTAACGACCATGGCAAGAAAGGTGGTACAATGGGGCAAAACTGACGGAACAACTGTCTTGCTTAGCAACGAAAACGCTGGGCTCATTTGTGGCTGTAAGTTAAGGACTACCTGTAGTTAGAGGCAGAAAAAAATAATAATTAGGTGCCTCTGTCCATAAAGGTCTTCTGTCTCATTTGTGTTCTTTCTTTGGCAGCTAGAAAACAGCGTAAGGTGAAAAGCTAGAGGGAAATTCACCCGGGATAATTAGTTAATTGGACGGAGGGAGAAACTGTTTAATTTTCACACCAGGCCTGATGGATGTTGCTGTGGGATTTTGGCACAAAATTTCAGTGGGCAGGATGGGAATTTAAAAATTTCCAGGGGAGAGAAAATATTGGCAAGGATTTGATATGTCAAGGCCTTTGAGAAACAGCTTGATTTAGATTATTTTCTTGGGTTACGATGTGGAGAACATACCTATGCAGGGAGCTGAAACCTATACAGGTAGTCCCTGACTTCATTTAGTGACTGTTTGAAGTCACTACGGCACTGGAAAAAAGTGACTGATGACTTTTTTTTCACACTTACAACCATTGCAGCATCCCCATGGCCACGTGATCAAAATTCGGACGCTTGGCAACTGACTCATACTTATGACGGTTCCTGTGTCCTGGGGCCAATCACCTTTTGATGACCTTCTGACCAGCGAAGCTAATGGGGTGGCCAGATTCGCTTAACAACCATGTCACTATGTTAAAAACTGTAGTGATTCACTTAACAACTGGGTGACATTCAGCCAATCACCAGGAGACGGTGAGTTCTAGTCCTGCCTTAGGCATGAAAGCCAGCTGAGTGACTTTGGGCCAATCACCAGGAGATGGTGAGTTCTAGTCCCGCCTTAGGCGTGAAAGCCAGCTGAGTGACTTTGGGCCAATCACCAGGAGATGGTGAGTTCTAGTCCCGCCTTAGGCGTGAAAGCCAGCTGAGTGACTTTGGGCCAATAACCAGGAGACGGTGAGTTCTAGTCCCACCTTAGGCATGAAAGCCAGCTGAATGACTTTGGGCCAATAACCAGGAGACGGTGAGTTCTAGTCCTGCCTTAGGCATGAAAGCCAGCTGGGTAACTTTGGCCCAATCACCAGGAGAAGGTGAGTTCTAGTCCTGCCTTAGGCATGAAAGCCAGCTGGGTGACTTTGGGCCAATCACCAGGAGACGGTGAGTTCTAGTCCCGCCTTAGGCATGAAAGCCAGCTGGGTAACTTTGGGCCAATCACCAGGAGACGGTGAGTTCTAGTCCCGCCTTAGGCATGAAAGCCAACTGGGTAACTTTGGCCCAATCACCAGGAGACAGTGAGTTCTAGTCCTGCCTTAGGCGTGAAAGCCAGCTGGGTGACTTTGAGCCAATCACCAGGAGACGGTGAGTTCTAGTCCCACCACATCACTATCTCCTGGTGATTGGCCCAAAGTCACCCAGCCAGCTTTCTTATCTAAGGCAAGAAAAGTCATAAAATTGTGGTTGATTCCCTTTACAACAACCACCTCGGTTAGCAACAGAAATGCTGGTCTCAATTGTGGTCATAACTTGAGAAAACTACCTGTAGTAGAATTAATGCAAGAGCTGAGAAAGAAACTTAGAAGATGGTGGCCTTGAGGAAAATATACCACGACTGTTAGTAAAATAGTTAGTGGCACATCTACAAAATCTACAGGAACAAAATGTTTCCACTACATTAACTGTGAATTTACAACAACAACGAAAATTGATAATCACATACCTCCACCTTGCCAAACACCTGTTATATCTTGCAATATTGCTCAGATAATTCCCAGGTTCCTTGCTGTGAATTTGGTTTCCAAACAAATAGGACAATTTTTTTCTTGTTCTTTGTTCTGGGTTATTCCTTGATCGCAACAACGATGATAAACACATGTAGTCCTCAACTTACAGCAGTTCGATCTGGTGACCATTCAGAGTTACAACAGCCCTGGAAAAAAAAAAGGGACTTATTTATTTTAATTGGCAAAACAATTAAAATAAAAAGCTCAATTTACTTGCAGTTCCAGCCCTTGTAACTTTTGCCCAATTAAAATACAGGTAGTTTTTGACTTGCGACCACAATGGAGCCAAAGTTTCTGTTGCTAAGGAAGACATTTGTTCAGTGAATTTTGTCCCATTTTATGACCTTCCTTGCCAACAGTTTTTAAGCGAATCTGGCTTCCACATCGACTTTGCTAGTCAGAAGCTCGCAAAAGGGGGTCACGTGACACCCCCCCCCCAGGATGCTGCAACCGTCATAAATACGAGTCAGTTGCCAATCTTTGATCACGTGACCAGGGAGATGCTGGTCGTAAGTGTGAAAAACAGTCATAACTCACTTTTTTTTCAGTGCCGTTTTGTCTTTGATGTATGGTCGTTAAATGGACTAAATGAAGCCGAGAATTACCTGTTTAGCCAGAGCCTTGGTAGTACAGTGGTTTAATGCACCCTGTAATTAACACAGCTGTCTGCAATTTCTGCAGGTTCGAATCTCACCAGGCTCAAGGTTGACTCAGCCTTCCATCCTTTCTAAGGTAGGTAAAATGGGGACCCAGTTTGTGGGGGCAATAAGATGACTTTGTATAAATATACAAAAGAATGAAGGCTATTGCTTAACGCATTGTAAGACGCCCTGAGTCTCCGGAGAAGGGCGGCATATAAATCAAATAAAAATAAAAATAAAAAAAAAGTCAAAGCACCCTTTGTCCTGTAGCGTAAAGTTGGGGGAATAAAACAGAACAAAGCAGAAATGAGATGTCTACACATCTCCACAACACATAGAGATATTTTGGAAACGCCACTGATTAGGTAACAAAACTCCAGAGAAGGGAACTGGCAAAGAAATCTCACAAGAAGCTGTTATCATTTGGCCTACAAGAAGTCACTAGACGCAATGGTTGTGTTGCTAACCATGCTTGGCTGAATTCTGACAGACAGGCTGAGATTCCAGAGCTTCTGGAGGGAAGGAGCATCTCCATAAAATGTGGGATGAATTTCCACCAGGGGGGAAAAATGTGTAAAATCCATTTCTCTACGAACGGTTTTGTTACCACGCCTGCTGTGGCATCAGGGATGTTCTGGGGGCCAAAAATTGGTTAAAAGAAATCCCCGAGAAGGTAGTTTCAAAGAGATTTCCCTGAAACCTCATTCCTGTTCTAGGCCAACAAATGAGTGCTTCAGTTATATGGTTGCAATCGTCTTGCACTGATCCAGCACTCGCTTTGCGCTGATGATGTTACCTAGTATGGTAATTAAATGTCTGCAAGAAAGTATTTATGCCCTTCCTCTCTCTTTACTCCTTCCCCTCTCTCCTGTTGTTTCCCTTTTCAGTTCAATCTAAAGTGGCATTCGAGCCGCCCCGATTTCCTAATTATCTTTATTCTCATTTCATTTTCTTATTCAATTATTATTTATTTTTATTATTTAAGAGAGGAGAGGAGAGAGAAGAAAGGGAAAAGGAGAGGAAGAAGAGGGAGGGGAAAGAGGAGTAGAGGAGAAGGTTAGAAGGGGGGAAGAAGAGAGGAGTGGGGGAAGAGAAGGGGAAGTAGGAAAGAGAAGGAGAGGAAGAATGAAGGAAGGAGGAGGAGAGAGAGGAAGGAAGACAAGGGGAGGAGAAGAAGAAAGGTTGGAGTAAAGGTAAAGGGTAAAAGAGCAGCCCCGAAAAAGTAAAAATGAAAAATGAAAGTTAAAAGAAAAGATGAATGAAAAATGATGGAAATGACTGTACATGTTTATGAAAAATAGAAATAAAAACTTTATAAAAAGAAAAGAAAAGAAAGTATTTATGGAGATTCTCAGCCATCCAAGTCATGGCTGTCTCAAAGGTGCTTTTTCAAGAGGCAAGTGGACTTTCTTGGTTTTTCTTTCAAGAAGTTTCGCTTTTCATCCAAGGAGCTTCTTCAGCTCTGCCTGAATTCTCCACCATCCAGCCAGAACAGAAGAAGCTTCTTGGATATGAGAAGCAAAACTTCTTCAGAGAAAAACCAGAATGTCCAGTTGCCTCTTGAAAAAGGAAGGAAGGAAGGAGTGCTCTTCAACATCTTCTTCATCAATGACTTGGACGAGGGGGTAGATGGGGAACTCATCAAATTTGCAGATGACACCAAGCAAGAAGGCATAGCCAACCTATCCAGAAGATAGGCTCAAGACACAGAAGGATCTTGACAGACTTGAACATTGGGCCCTATCTAACAAAATGAAAATTCAATGGTGAAAAAAGCACGGTTCTACATTTAGGCAAGAAAAAACAAAATGCACAGGTACAGTATATGTGGTACCTTGCTCAATAGTAGTAATTGTGAGACAGATCTTGGAGTCCTAGTGGACAACCATTTAGATATGAGCCAGCAGTATTACAATATATGAGGGCAATTTTACCAATGGATAGAGATAGAATATAGACAATATGTAGAATAAAGTTTAAGAAATTTGGAAAGAACATTGTCAGCACTTCAAACTACATTCGTTCCAGTGCTGACATAAGGAGGAGAAGAGGGGGCAGCTGGCAAGAGGACGCTTGACTTTTCACCTACTTATTTTCCCTGAAGATAATATCCCCTAGGAGATAGGATGGGAGGGGGGACATTCCTGGGAGCTGAAGTAGTAGATATGGGGAAAGTGATTTGGAAGATGGCCAATGAGATGCAGAGAATTGGGGAACGGAAAGGGAAGGTTTGGGGTCAGGAAGTCAGTGTTGGCTACGACATAATCGGGGACAGATTGTCGTGCTTAATAAATGAAAGATTTCATCAAAGACTATTTGTTTGGAAATGCAATTTATTTGAGATGACATCGAAACCTGACAAACATATAATAAATTAAATTAAAATGTAAAAGCAAAGATGTGATTTGTATCAAGATAATGGTGGTAAATGTTGAATATGATGACACAAAATTCTGTACTCAGATGACATACTGATTGGATAACGATGTACCGTTTATTTGAAAATAAAAATAAAAAACTTTTTAAAAACAAAAACAAAAAGATAAGCCAGCCATGTGCAGCAGCTGCCAAAAAACCAACCCAGTTCTGGGCTGCAGAAACAGAGGCACAGAATCAAGATCACGTGAAGTGTTAATACCACTTTATAAGGCCTTGGGAAGGCCACACTTGGAATACGGCATCCAGTTTTGGTCGCCACGATGTAAAAAAGATGTGGAGACTCTAGAAAGACTGCAGAGGAGAGCAAGAAAGAGGATTAGGGGACTGGAGGCTAAAACGTATGAAGAACGGTTGCAGGAACTGGGTATGTCTAGTTTGATGAAAAGAAGGACCAGGGGAGACATGATAGCAGTCTTCCAGTATCTCAGGGGCTTCCACAAAGAAGAGGGAGTCAAGCTGTTCTCCAAAGCACCTGAGGGTAGAACAAGAAACAAAGGGTGGAAACTAATCAAGGAGAGAAGCATTTTAGAACTAAGGAGAAATTTCCTGACAGTGAGAACAATTAATCAGTGGAACAACTGGCCTCCAGAAGCTGTGAATGCTCCAACACTGGAAGTTTTTAAGAAGATGTTGGATAACCATTTGTCTGAAGTGATGTAGGGTTTCCTGCCTAAGCAGGGGGTTGGACTAGAAGACCTCCAAGGTCCCTTCCAACTCTGTTATTTTGTTTTCTGAGGGAGGGAGGGAGGGGGAAGGGAGGGAGGGAGGGAGGAAGAAAGGAAGGGAGGAGGGAGGGAGGGAGGGAAGAAGTATTGGAAGAAATATCCCTCTGGGTTCAGTTCCAAGTGGAGAGAAAGATACTGGAAACATGGAAGCTGATTGGTTTATTGATGAACAGGACCACATGGGTTTGAGGTCCTGGGTAGCTGACCACATGGAGTGGAGAGTGAGGGTGATTTATACCCTCTCTGGGCTTTGAACTTGAGCTTCCTGTTCCTGTGGCAAGAGCATATATTCTACTGGGTGCTGCCAGACTCCCATGGGGCTATGCAGGGGTCATAGCTGAGGTTGTCTGTGTCCCAGACTTGGTTGAATCTTGCTGGGTGATGATGTAATGAAGAGGCTTGTGTTCTGAAAGGGCAATTCCTGTTGTGTCTTAATGGCTTTGTCCCAGTTTGGATCTTGAGAGAAGGCTATTCCTATCACCCTGGAGCTGAAGGCCTTTTGTCTTGTAGATAGGCTGGCTCAGTCTTTCTGGGGCTATTAAGAAAGGTGGGAGCATGTTTCTCCTTTAGGGAAATATAATATTCTGCCTTTTTAATATTTCTCAAGATATTTCATTTTTCTAGGAGAGGGGTGGGTGCTAAATTTCTACAGAAGGAAGGGAGCGAGGGAGGAATTCAGCATACTTACTCTTTTGAACAATGCAGTTAAGGGGTCCCTCTGTGCTTTGTTCAGCTTTTCAAACCTGCCTTGCTTAAAGCAGCATGGACTTGTTTTGAACAGAGCCCCCAGGTAAGGTAGTGCTGGGCTCCAGTAAAGGAGGGGCAGCTTCACCAACGTGCGAGAAAGCACACAATTGTTATGAAAATATTGCAAAATTGATCTTCCCCTGTTCTCGCACTTCCTGGAATGACCAGGTGGCCTCTATCTAAAGAAACGCCAGAAGGAAAGCAACTTCTGTCTAAAGTTCTCAGTGTTTGCCACAAGCCCTCTGATATTTTTAAATATTATTCAAAAAAATAATTTCTGTTGGGATATGGTTTGAACCTAACAAGTTGTCCAAGCAATATATGTGTTCTGTGACTTTAACATGGACATGTATTGTGTGACTTTAAAGTTCTACTGTTGATTCATTGCAATGCTGAGTCATGCTGTAATTAGATAATCACTAGTTGTAAACGTATTTAAGAAAGGTACTGTAACGTATTCAGTTGATGATATGCTACCATAGTGTGTGGAGTTGCTATCATTGTGCTATCATCGTTGGATGGATCTGCTACCATTGTGGTTTGTGAACCAGAGTTTGTTATTCTAACCAACTACTGCTTGTTTGGTAAGAAGCTTTTTGTATCACTGGACTGATTTAACTGGCAAAGACTTGGATTGATTTAAAAGACTATTTAAAAGAGATTGTTTTTTCACTATAAAGTAAACTTTTGATAAACCAGTTTGCACATCTCTTATTCATTGCCTTCAGCAACATTTCTCTGTGCTCTACACTCTGCTGGTTGGTAACACAACAACAATATCCTTAACAGTTAAGTTAGATAGTTACCATATTTTTGGGAGTATAAAATGCACCTTTTTCCCCCCTAAAAGGGGGTGAAAATTTGGCTGCGTCTTATACAAATGTAGCCCTGCCCACTCATGGCCCCCACCCTTTGGCCTCTGCCCCCCAGCAATTTACCTCCTTGCAGCAAGAAGAAACAGCCCATTGCAGCTTCAGCACAGTCTAATTAGCACAAGTTGATTGTCTGTTGGATCGACTTCCTACTCTCAGCTGTTTTGCACTGGGCTCTGCTGCTTGCTGCAAGGAGATAAATTGCTGGGAGCAGATTTTTTTTTCTTGTGCTAATCAAGCTATGCTGAAAACAAAAATGAAAGTAAAGCAGGCTGTTTGCTGTTTGATGCAACATGGCAAAATTGCTGGGAGGCAGAGGCAGATTTCTTTTCCTTGTTCTCCTCACCAAAAAAAGGTTGGTGCGTTTTATAGTCCGGAGCATCTTATACTCCGAAAAATACGGTATTAAGTGGATTTTGCTGCTTTTTTGCAACCTTCCTTGCCACAATTGTTAAGTGAATCACTGCAGTTGTTAAGTTAGTAACTCGATTGTTAATCGAGTTACTAACCCCGATGACATCAAAACGCTTCTGCGCATGTACAGAAGAGCACATGCATGTGTGCGCGTTCGGCCCCGTTGTGAACTGGGAGTAAAGGTAAGTAGAACCCACTCCTGCCCCCCACCCCCACCCCACTTTTAAAAAAGAGACAACCTATTCAGCCTCCAGGAGACCTGCTCCTGGTGAGTTTATCATACTGTAGCTCTAGGATTTTGCATGATATTTCTTTCTTTCACACTGTTTAAATTTTCCCAATTTACGCCGGGCTCCCTGCCTCCTTTCTGACAACTACGAGTCGATTTTCTTGCTTCTGTATGAGATTATAACATTTTGTTCTGCTTCCTGTTCCTTTCTTCCCACTTATTATTATTTTATTTTTTTTAAGGATCTGTAAGAGTTTCAGCTTGCACTGCTCTTGGGTTCTTTCAGTTTTGTTAGATGTTTATCTTACCTTTATTATTTATAAAGTAATAAAACTGAAGGAACATGCACAATACTTTCTACCTATTTGTCAGAGAGAGAGGGAGGAAGAGGGAGGGATGGAGAGGGACGAAGGGAAGGAGGGAGGGAATGGGAGGGAGGGGTGGGGGAGGAAGAGAGAGGGAGGGAGGGAGGGAGAGGAAGGGAGAGAGAGGAAGGGAGAGGGAGCAGGTGGGGGAGAGAGGGAGAGAGAAGGGGCGGAGGGAGAGAGTGAGTGAGTGAATGAGTAAGGGAGGGAGGGAGGGAGGGAGAGGGACAGAGGAAAGGAGGGAGAGGGAGGGGGAGAGAGAGGGAGGTTGAGAGGGGTGGAGGGAGGGAGAAAGAGAGAGGGAGGGAGGGAGAGATATGAAGAGGGGGTAGGGAGAGAGAGGGTGGGACTTAAAATCACCAGGTGCTTTCATACCTAAAGCAGGAATGTCTCCTTGTGATTGGCCCAAAGTCACCCAGCTGGCTTTCATGAATACGTAGGATTAGAACTCACAATCTCCTGGTAATTGGCCAGCACCGAACTGTGTTAGCAGCCATTAAGATCCCCAGACCTTGGTACTGATGATCATGTATTTTTATGGGCATCATGAATTTTTTTTCGATTCATCTGCTTCTAGATTCCCCTTGCATGACAATAAGACTGAACTTTTAGCTTTACATAACCAGGTTGCTCGTTAAATAACATCTTGCCCACCCAAAGGTAATTTTCTTCCTTTATTTCATTCAATTCCCTGGTAGTCTTTTTCAGTGCACTTTTAGAATATACTTAGGCTTTTAACTTTATTCTTTCTCCCGATATTCTGACAGCGACATACGTTGCAAATCAATCTTTGATGCTCAATTTGAATCCATCGGTCCATTCCATCTGGAAACAGGTATGAATGCTCTGGCTGGCAGCAGGTTCATTAGTTTTGGTTATCAAAACAAAGGGATCTTCTTGGTCACTATATTTAAAAAAAAAGAAAAGATTGTTGAGACTCTGGAAAAAGTGCAGAAAAGATGATTAGGGGTCTGGAGGCTAAAAGAACGGTTGCATGATTTGAGTATCAGACTTCGATGCTATCTCAAAATAAATGAATTTCCAAACTGCCAATCTTTAAGGAAATCTTTTCTTTATTCGAGCACAGCAACTGGATCATGACTCGATGCGGACAAGACTGACCTTTTGCCCCCCAATCCCTCCCTTTCCGATCCCCAACTCTCTGCTTCTCATTGGCTATCTTCCAAGTCATTCTCCAGACTTCTTGTCTCGTCATTTCCCAGGAATGTCTCCCCCTTCCTCATTTCCACGACAACCCAGCTTCAAAGGGATTTAGCAGGCAAAAGTTCAGAGCTTATCTCTCTCCTCTCTATGCCAGCGCTGAGGCGCTGACATCGAGTATGTCTAGTCTACGAAGAGAAGGACCAGGAGAGACATGATATCAGCCTTCCAATACTAGGGCTTCCACAAAGAAGAGGAGGATCAAACTATTCTCCAAACTCAAGGCCTGGAGGCTGGATCTGGCCCATGGGGTGCTTAGATCTGGCCTATGGGGCCACCCTGGAAACAGCGAAGGACCTGGTGCGTAGGGTTGCCAGGTGTCCACTATTTGAGCGGACAGTCCGCTTTTTTCACGTTATGTTCACTGAAAAATGAATGATGAGATCAAATGCAAACGTTGAACGAATTTTCAGCGTCATGGGAAATTTGTGGACTGACGAACGTAACCGACTGCTTGTACCATCGGTTCGAAGTGAACTTTGTATATTTTTTAATATTTCTCAACGTTGTACTGAAATTAAAGAATTATTCCTTAAACACAAAGAATTTGATCAAAGCTGCGCAGTCAAATAAAAAATACACACGACAGCAAAGTAAAATGTAATTTAATACTTTACATATTATTATAATATATTTGATGTTTTGAATTTTAAGTAAAGTTTTGAAGTGATTATTTTAATACGTGTTAAAATGTTTGTGAGAAAATATATAATTTAATTGTAATTTTTTAAAAAAATTTTACTTCTTAACCCCCTCCTGCCCGCTATTCCGCTATTTTTTGGAAGCAGACCTGGCAACCGTACTGGTGCGCCAGCCACCTAGTCTTCATGCACGCATATGCGCCCAACAGGAAGATGATTTACCAGTTTCCGGTGCGCGTATGTGCACTGGCCAGATGGTCTTCGCCTGCGCATGAACACTAAAAACCAGAAGACCAGGTGGCCAGGCGCATGCCAGAAACCAGAAGATCATCTTCCTGGTGCGCATATATGCACTGGGTGGCTACTTTTTCGGTTTCTGGCGCTCCCGTGTGCGTGAAGACCAGGCATCTGGCACGGAAGAGCAACAGGCAACGGAACCTGGAAGCGATGGAACTTCCGGAACCCGGAAGAGCAACGGGCGACGGCTTGCGTGCCACAAGAGATGGCTCTGTATGTCATTTCCAGCACGCGTGCCTTAGGTTCGCCATGACGAGTATAGGAACTGCTGCTTAAGCAGGGGATTGGACTAACGACTTCCAAGCTCCCTCCCAACTCTATTATTCTGTTTTCTGTATTGTCATGTCTAAGGCAGGACTGAATTCACCATTTGCTGGTGGATGGGCCAAAAAAGTCACCCAGTTGACTTTTTTTTTTTTTTTTTTTGCCTAAGATGTGACTAGAATTCCCTGTTTCCTGGTGAATTAGATCACTTTGGACCAATCACTTCTAGTCCTGCATTAGGCATGAAAGCCAGCTGGTAATTTTAAGCCAATCACCAGCAAATTCAATAATAATAGAAATTCAATAATAATAAACCATGAGTTCTAGTCCCACCGTAGACATGGGTAACCTTGGGTCAGTCGCTTTCTCAAGCTCAGCCCACTTCACAGAGTTGTTGTTGTTGTGTGGAAAACAGAAGGAGGAAGATACGTTGGATATGTTCCCCTTCTTGAATTACTTGTTAAAATAATAAAGTCAGAATACAGATCAATAAATAAAAGAATAACAGAATTGCCGAGCTGGAAGAAACCTCGGAGGTCTTCGACTCCAACCCTCCCCGTTAAACAGGAGATCCTATACCAGTGATGGCTAACCTTTTTGCCGTGCGTGCAAAAAGCAGGAAGAGTGCGGGGAGGTCACCCATGTGCGTGCCCACACTCATAATTCAATGAACCCTGCTCCCACACATGCGCGTGTATGTATTTGTTTATTGAATAGCCCGAAGGCCTTTTCAAACAAAACAGAAAAGAAAAAGGGAAAAAGGCAAAACAGTTACAGAAATAACAATCTAAAAATATATGATATATGACATTAAAATTTTACAATATCAGATTTCAATAGCTAAATTGCCAAGACTAGATAACCCAAATAAGATAGCTCCTCTCTAACTCAGCTCATCTTTCTTACAATCAATGAAATTCTTTTCGATATAACTGGCTCGTATTGCTGTCATCCTTTTAAGATAGCGAGTGATAGCCCTTACCAGGGGAGGAGAGTCAGCCTTCAACAGAAATGCTAATTTATGCCTTATATTCCAGTGGGGAAATTTATTTATAATTGGGGACAGATATTGTTTTCTTACTTTCTCATACAGCCTACATTCGAATATTATATGCGCCATGTCCTCCATGACGTTTACCTCACATATACATGTTCTGACACATGCGCGTGTGACCCCCCCAAGGCCCCCACTTTTAGCACACAATGGCACAATGGGCATGGTAGGCCCTTTTTTCACCCTCCCCAGGCTCTAGATGCTTTCTAGGAGTCTGGGGAGGGTGAAAACAGCCTTACCCACCTCCTGGAGGCCCTCTGGAGGCTGGAAACAGCTCATTTTCCAACTTCCGGTGGGACCAGAAGGCTGAAAAATCAGCTGGCCGGCGCACAAATGTGTGCTGGAGCTGAGCTACGGCAACATTTGCATGCCCACAGATATGGCTCCATGTGCCACCCGTGGCACCCATGCCATAGGTTCGCCATCAAGTCCTTCTACGGCAGTGATGGTGAACCTTTTCGGCATTGAGTGCCAAAAAGCGAGCGTGCACCTGTGCGGCACCAAGTGCCAAAAAGGGAACACTTCACTCTCATCTGGGCCGCGATCAGGAAGAGGAGTTGCCCAGGGGCCATCTGCTCGCCAGAAAATATACTTCTGGTTTGCGGTGTACGCATATGCGCCAGCCAGCAAGTCTTCCGGTTACTGCCACGCATGCACACGTGCCAATCCGCTGGCTAGCGCACATGCTTACGCCAAAAAATGGGAGACCAGCTTTTCCGGTTCCCGCCACTGCCGCACACAGAAAGCAGGGGTGAAATGCTCCCGGATCGGACGATCCGGTAGCGATCTTGGCCGGTGGTTCAGCGATCCAGTAGCGACGGCGGAGCATAGCTCCGCCCACCCAGCTGACTGTCATTACTTCCTGGTTGTAACCAGGAAGTAATGTGTTTTGCGGTGCGTGCGCTTCCAAACCGGTAATGAAGGTAAGTAGATTTCACCCCTGGCACAAAGGACAGTGATTGTCGCATGCACGCCAGAAACCTGGAAGAGGAACAGGCGCCATCCCGCATGCCCTACGTTCACTATTACGGTTCTAGGTTTTAACTGTTCAATGATAAATGATTGTCCAGGCTCTTCTTGAGTACCTCAAGCACCCACAACTTGTTGCAGCACCCACAACTAATATTTCTTTGCTCGATCCCACACCCGCAGCTCACTTAGGAAATTTCAAGAGGTCATCATCCTCTTGAGAAGTATATGTATGTATGTATGTATGTATGTATGTATGTATGTATGTATGTATATATAATATATATATTATATATATATATATATATATATATATGTAGGTCTTTGGTTATTCGGGTCTTCTCCCACGTAAAATTGGAAGTGTCTTGGCGACGTTTCGACGAAGTCTCATTCGTCATCTTCAGGCTGGTGTTCTCGGCTTCGTGCTTCCAGGAGCAATGTGAGATCGCAGCTGTCTCTTCCTTGCTCCTGGAAGCACGAAGCCGAGAACACCAGCCTGAAGATGACGAATGAGACTTCGTCGAAACGTCGCCAAGACACTTCCAATTTTACGTGGGAGAAGACCCGAATAACCAAAGACCTACATACAAACACCCGCGAAAACCTGAGAAAAATATATATATATATATATATACATACATACACATACATACATCATATAATACATATATACTATATATATATATATACATATGTATATAGATATATATAGATATAGATATAGATATGAATATAGATATATAGATATATAGATATAGATATATAGATATATATATAAACATGCCACTTCTTTTATTGAAGGGACCTCCGTTTGGCAAATGGCTTATGACCATTTTTCATTTTCTCCCCGTTTGTTCCTAAGAGCTCCTTACATCGTAAACACTTCATCTTTCTTAAGTGCTGAGATGAAAAGTCTGTGTGACTACGAAGGGGAAAATGAGACGGTCCGGCACTGGCGGTTTGCGGCCAAATTGCCTCTTTATCAGGCATCTTCTTCCCATCTCCTGTTCGATGACCTTCACCCATTTGTCAGGAAAATATTGAGCCTTCTAATTCAAACTCTGGTGCTGCTTTCTTGCAAATTTATTACCTTGGAGCAGGTTGTGATATTGGGGGTAGGGGAAGGAGGAGGTGGGGGGAGGCAGTGAAGATAAAAACCTCCCTAGAAAAACAAGATGAGACGCACATAGTCCTCGACTTTCAGCAGTTCGTTTAGTGACCATTCAAAGTCGGACAGAAAAAGGCGAACTTAACGACGGTTTTTCACAATTTAAGATGAGCTCGATTCTATCTCTCCGCTTGGCTGTTGCTTTACGGGTAGTCCTCGACGTGCAACAGCCCATTTAGTGACCGTTCAAAGTTACAACCTCACTGAAAAAGGCGACTTATGTTATGACCATTTTTTCACATTTACGACCGGTGCAGCGTCCTCGTAGTCACGTGGTCAAAATTCAGCCG